CCTCGATTAAGCATTGACTTTTCATTACCAGTACAAAGGCAGGAATAAAGCAAGAGCACATGGCACTTGATGGTAGAGTAGTTGTTATAAAATTTCATTTCACAGCTCGTACACAACAGTTAAGCTTGAGTAAGCTATAGATTCATCTCCAAACAAGTCTTGTGATTTTGTCATATACAGGTTTATATGGAAAAGGATCTGAAACTTTTATTAAATTGTTTAAATATATCAGCCTTTCAAAACCTTTTCCCTGGCACCCAGCTGCTGTATTTCTGGAAATGAACAAACCAAACAAGAACAAAAAAACAAGAATTGTTGGCTAGATGCCAGATCCCTAGCAGCCATGAAAGCCTTTTATCACACACAGCCCAGTGACACTGATATATTTGTGAACAGGAGTATACACATCAGAACAATAAGTGTTTGTGACAATCTGGGATCTACAGAAACAAAATTCTCACTTTTACGTCAGCAAAAGCAAAAGAAAACTAAGGATTGATTTTCTGTAAAATAGCCCAATAACCACATTATAGTTACATGTGAATAGACCCATTAACCAATAGAAAATTGCAACTATGAGTTCTACGTTTGCGTATGAACTGAAACAGTTAAGCAATAGCTATATTTAATCGTAGCTACAATGAGGCAGAAAAAAAATGTCTACATTTCTTTTCCCAATACCACCTGGCAGACAGGCATATAGTAAGTGCATTTGCTGGAAGCACTTATGTTTTGCTCTGAAAAACAGCCTCAATGAATTGCTAACATTGCCAAGTTCAGTCTGCGTCTTTCAGTGCAAAGAGAGAGGCTAAGGAAGGAAGAAGCAGTTTCTTGAGCTTTTCTACTATTTGAAATCTAGTCTGGAAATGCCTTCTTAATTGGGCAGATTGACTGTCACTTCCGTGATACCTGAAAACTCAACTTGCTATTTACTCAATTTCAGAAATGTCTCGATGAACCATGTCAGAAAATAATCTTCATCAGCAATATCCACACGGAGAAGACTGCCCTCAGCTTTTCCCTTCAGTTTTTTTTACAGGATTTCAAACAAATTCATCAAGGCCCCTCCACCACATCCGCTCTTGTTGCCCTGACGTGGATGAAATGAGCCCTCCTTATCCACAGAGAATTCAAGTCTTCTGCTGATGTTAGACAGAGATGATGAACATGTGTATGCCTCATGCAAATTTTGTTAAGTGAACTGCAGCTTCCATCCATAAAAGTTAATGAAAAAATCAGGTTCTGATGAAGTTCAGATGAACTTGGAAAGGGTCCAGAGGAGGGCGACTAAGATGATCAGGGGGCTGGAGCACCTCC